GCCTCAAACTGGTTCAACAGTACTGGACTCACCTCCGTATGGTAAATGGCCATGACAGCCGTTAACGGCAATCTAGAAACTTGAGATAGTTTTAACATGATTAATGCATCAGATTTATTATTATTATGGTTGGTGATTGATGGCAGTTGCTTCAAACCACTTGTGATACGTGTTCGGTGCTCGGTTTTGGTGTTGATGGGTGCACAAGAGGTACGTCCACGTGTGCCGGTACGTATTGTCTTGTACCACCTACTACAGTGCATCATATGAGAATTTTCAAAAAACTACCACTTTCAATTGGGATGATTTGATTGGATGGTCAATTTGACTACGAGCCTGTATAGCCGTGGTCAAATTGACCACGGGCCAATCGCGCCGTGGTCAAATTGACCACGAGCCAGTCAAGCTCTGTCAATTTGACATGCAGCATGCCGTCCAATCTTCGAATAGACCCGCCGCATTTTATACACAGAGTCATTTCTTATTAAATATGGAAAAGTGGTCTGTTAACAGAAAAAATGGGGAATGATTAGAGAGGACGGGCATGCTTTTTTCCTTTGTCCTATCCTACCCTCCGCACAGCCGAGCCGTGCTATTTTGACTGACTGTTTGTGTACGCGGATGAGCTGGTCGCTGCATTGATTTTTCAAGATTCCGCCTGCAAGATTCCCTTTGTAAAGTTGCTATTGCGTGTGAAATGACTAATCGGACCACAGTTCCCGGCCGTTCCAGGACCGTGTGGCAAAAACGTGTATTTCGAGATTCTCCGATCATCGAAATTTCGTGTTTCCGCGCGGAAAAGACGAACATTATAACATGACCCGTTTGTCCGGACGGACACCCGAAAAAAAAGGGAATAACGAAAACGAGTTCCAATAGTGTCAAAACGTTTCAATCTCTCGTTGAAGTTCTCCTGCCGCCGAGTTCTAGCCCAAATCTTGAACTCGAGAACTTTGGGGCTGTCGGTCTCTTGAATAATAGATGTGACCATCCAGTGAGCGAAGACAAAGACCTTGTTCTAAACAAGACTTTTTGGCCGAATGTACGCCATTGCCCATCTGCTAGTAGACATGGTTTGGGTCCATGTTTTCGGTGATGTCTCTCCAGCACTGTCCTTGATAGGTTTCTTGGGTTCTTTTTTCGCATCGCTGGTTCTCCAATCCTTCAACTACTATTGTCCAGCATTATCAGTCGCTCCAACATTCATTGTAGGCTATCGACAGTGAAGAGTGCCCTTGTTGATAGCATTGGATTGTCCAAAACCGATGCCAATGGCATAATAATAATTCACAATTTGAAAAGTAACAGTTTCTTTGCGAGATGGGAAAGCAGGGATAGCATTGGGGAGTCTCAATTAATCTCCCAAAAGTTCCGTAAAAAATTCTCTCAAGGTTACCTAAGGCCCATTCCAAATGACCAAAATTCGATGTATGAGATTCGACGTATTTTGTCTGCTCTTCAACCGTTTTATACGTCGATTCAGAAACCTATACATCGAATTAATTGCGGGCAAATTGCGAGGTAATTAATTTATTGTATATTCGACGTATAGCCAATCAAAACTCAGAACGCCCCTATCCGAATTTCTCAAGATTCGAAGATTTCTTGTCGTCATTTGTCAATCATTCATCACCGTTCATAATTGAATCGCAGCAATGAATAATGATAGTAGAACCCCTCTCGATGGAAGGCAGCTTCTACTTTTGCTTTTTTCTGTCTGCATCTTAGAAAGTGTGCAATCCCTGAGCAGGGAAAACAGGGAAAGTCTACTTCAGACTCATATTTCGGAACAACATCGCATGAACAGATCCCTCCCAATCTACCTCCTACGGCCCACTTTTGACCAGTTCACAGCTACAATTTCTGCATCCCACTTCCGAAAGATGTTTCGCATGACCCAGAGTATGTTTGCCACACTATGTGCAACGATTTGCAATGAAATTGGACCAGAAGTGTTTCGTTCCGAGTCATTTCTTTCTCAGCGTCGCGAACGAATTTATGGGAGTCAGGAGCCAAGAGAACAAGCAGTTGCTCCTGTTTCAGGGGAAATACGAGTTGCAATTGGTCTGAGGATGCTTGCAGGTGGATCATATCTGGACTTGGTACCGCTATTCAGGGTCTCTTCCTCCCAACTCTATGATGTTTTCGATACTTTTTTGGTTTGGATTTTGGCCACCTTCAAGTTTCCGTTGCCACAATATTTCGCAGAGAACAATTGGCCAGCCATTGAGCGCCTTGCTTTTCCTTTTGCCGAAAAAACAAATGGGATATTCTACGGAGTATTCGCAGCGCTCGACGGTCTGGCTGTGAGAATCAAGGGACCTAGAATAGACGAGGTTCCAGATCCTGGGAACTACTACTGCCGAAAGGGCTTCTTCGCTCTAAATGTCCAAGCTATGTGTGATAAGGCCAAGTATTTTCTGTGGTGCTTTCCTGCTAATAAGGGATCCACCCACGACTCTACTGCCTTCGCAAATTCTACCCTGTTTGACATCTTGCGTTCTAAAGCAGAGGAGCTTCGGAAAAGAGACCTATTTGTGGCTGGCGACTCGGCCTACGGCTTAACGTCATTTTTGATGACACCTTATGACAAAGAAGAGATGAAACATGATGATCTTGATATGAAGGATGCTTTCAACTTTTATCTATCGTCATGTCGGATCTACATCGAATGTGCCTTTGGAGAGTTGGTGATGAGGTGGGGGATTCTATGGAGGACCCTTCACTTTCGCCTCAAAAAGTGCATGGAGATTATCAGAGTGTGTATGCTTCTGCACAACTTTATACTAGATCATCAGGAAGAGTCCGAGCGGTATAACATGTCCGAAGTTCAGAATTTCGACATTGAAATGGACCAACTGCAGCAAAACATCACACAAGCAACAGGAGAAATACCTCTGCCCACAGTCAGTGACAACAATGAGCCAAAACCCTCTGGCCGGCGAACAAAGGAGGAGGTGAATGAAAAAGCACTCGGCGAGAATATTCGTTTCAACTTGGCTTACAAGCTGGCGTCTGCTGGTTTGAGTCGGCCAATGGTAACTGGCATGCATACCAACAAGCATGGTCACGTCTATATGACGGAGTAGAAGCGTTGATTAACTAAAACCTAACCTAATTGACTATTACTTAACCTACTTAAAATAATTCCAAATACTAATCATCCCAAACACTAATCATCACCAAATAAGCCATTCTGGTCAGCTTCCTTGACTCTCACCATGTTTCCCATTGTGTCAGTTCCATGGTAGACAGATCGGGTTGATTTGAAATATGACGACCAGAGGATGATTATATTGATGATTGATGTTCCCAGATTCGAATGCACGAAAAATTCCAAATGGCGCGAAAACGATTGAAATCGGAGTATTTTACTTAAGGGATTTGTCTAATACAATGAAAAATCAATGGTCATTCCAATTGGATTTGAAAAAATTCGACGTATAAAATCCGTTGAAAACAGACGTTGTACATCGATTCAAATACACGGAGAAAATACGCGAAATTCGTCCATTTGGAATGGGCCTAAAAGTTCCCTGAAAGTTCCCTGAAAGTTCCCTGAAAGTTCCCTAAAAGTTCCCTTTTTTCCCCGGGATTTCCAGGATATCCCCGTGTGAAAACAGTTTTCGGTTTTACCGCGTCATCAATGATTAGCGCGTGTTTTACAACCTATAGTCGGGTTTGGCGGTTTCGGTTTCGCTAAATGCCCGAATTTGCCACACGGTCCAGATGCAAACTCCCGCAACTCGCAGAGCCCCTTCCCTCATTTACCTGCGACCTACAGACTGTGGGTCGACTGCAAGACGATTGCTGTAGATGATTGTCAATGAATGGACAGCCGTCAAGCTCATGACACATGATCTTTTTGAAATGATGATGTTCTTGAAGACAGTTTACCTCCTTCTTTCAGTAGAAGGAATATCTTCTTTTGTTGTTTCTCCGCCCATCGCCAATACACGGTACCATGACAAGAGCATAAGCCTTTTCGGGTTGCTTGATGAAATCAACAGTGATGATTACAATTTGATGGATACTTCAAATGATAGTTCTGGTGGAATCAATGATGATTTTGAGGTATTGCTTGGGGATCTCGTGTTCTCCACAAATGATCCGCGTATTGACATTATGAACAACTTTGATAGGGCCACAAATGATGACTTCATCGCCTGGATGGACAAGAAGGCTGAGAATTCTGATGACCCAAATGAACGCTTGGCAATGAAGGACTTAAACGAGATGATCGTCGACATCAAGAGGAAAGTAGAGCTTTCAAAAATGGCAGAAGAACGAGCAGCTAGAGAGGCCGAAGAGGAGCAGGAAAAAATGAGTGTTGAAGCCGAGAAAGAAGCTGAAGCTGGGCGAAAGATGTCAAACGCAGACATTCTTCGTAAAGCTGCAAAAATCAGTGAGGTCGATGTTGGTGAAGGAGCAGATAGTGTCGCCGAGAAAAAGAGCTTCTTTGATCAAGAGTTGACACCAGAGATTCGAATGAGCTATGAAGACTCGTTGAAAAAGTTGCTCCCACCTTACAAGGCTGGTGAGACACCTATTTCTGTTGTCGCAGCGAATTATGACAAGTTCGATGCACAATTTGTCAAGGTGCTCACCGAGAGGTCGGCAAACGGTGACGAGGATGCAGCTTCCCTACTTGCTGCTCTGGGAGAGGAGCAAAGCAAACGGATTTCTGTTGCTACTGAAACTTTGAAAGGAATTTTGGCACTTGGCGAGCGGATGAAAATGGAAGGCGCCGTTGTGAGGCTCGCCAGGGAAGGAAAAATTGATGAACCATTCCTACTCTTGCTAGAAGCGAATGAGTCTCAAGCTAGAGATGCAGGAGCCATGGGACCTGCAGAACTAATGAAGAAGTTGAGACTTCGAGCTGCAGAGGAAAAGGACAAACTTGTGTCCAGCAAGGAAATCCGGTTGATAAGAAAGTTGCTCCGAGCGGAAGATTCGATAGAGCGCGAGAAGCTCTTAGAAGACGCATTTACTCCAAAAGAATTCTTACTGGTAAGTTCCTTGAATATGACATGGTTTCTTTTTGGCACACGTCCGTTTCTCAGCAGTGCTGTTTTCAGGTGGCAGGCACCCCTGAGAATGCGATGAAAGCAATTGATGGTGAAGTTCCAGAAGCAGAGAAGCCGATGCCAGATGTACCACCACCTGACTTTATCAACGCTTGTAAAGCAGTTCTTCTCAATTTTGGAAACCTTCATTACGATGGCGAACGCGGTGATTTGGCCTCCAGGATCAAGCAAATTGCCTCTGAGGCCGAGGTTGTAGCGACGAGAATTTATGGTCAAGGTATGACTGCTCGCGATCAACAAGACCGCGCTTGGAAGGACCAAACAACCTCCATTTTTGATTTGGAGAGGATGGAGCTTGAAGCGCAAGCCAGTGGGGATCATGCACCTTGGACAAATCCTGAGCAGGGTGAAGATATGTTCCTTCCTGGTTTTGATAGTCAAGGAAAGATGCAAGTCGGAGGTGACTAAATATTGAATGCTTGGAAAATAGTCTCTCAAAATCTGTTCTTTCATCCAATTAATTTGATGTGCATATAACCACACAGCTACAGTACAATTGGTTATGACTCTCAATTTTTTAATATCCCCAGTTCTCGTAACTGTACCGGTACCCAAGATAGTAGTAGATACATGCTCTGTCCTATTAATACATCCTCCTACACTTACTCATATTTCTACGGTAGTCTTGTAGACGGACAAGCCTTGACAACCACACGATTGAAGATCAGAGATTTCCTTGCAAACGACGCCAGATCAATGATGATTGATTTGGTCATTAGCATTGTGATCGTTTTCCAATTCCTGGAGGGATAGCTGAAGAATGTGTGAGAAGAAGTTTGGGTCAAAGTGGAGGAGCAAGAAATCGGCGCATTGGATTTCAAGCCAGAGCAGGATATGCAGCGCGCTGCAGAAGTAGATCGAGTGTCAGAAGGAGATTGATGGAGGAAAGGTTCTGGACAATGTCTGCCGTGAGTGGGACGAGGCCCATATCAACGATTGTGGAAACATCAACGATTATGGAAAGCACCGTCTTCAAGTCACGGGTTTCATACCCAAGAATGCGAATCGCGGAAGGAGATCCAATTGAACGACAAAATGGTTAAATGCCCTACTATTAGCACATATTTTTATCTATTAGAATCTACGTTCTCAGCCAATTTCATTATCGTTATGGTAGCCGAATCTGCACTCTTGTGCCATTGTCGTTTGTTTTCTTGAAAGTCTTTGTTTGAAAAGGAGTGCATTTTCACAATCCCCTTTTGTTTTGGTTGTTAATAACAAGATACAGTAGTATCAGATATTTCTATTTACTCCATCTTGCGTATTTCATATTCTATCTTACAATCCTACTGTAATATTTCAGACATTACAAAATTCAAAAGTCGTCGTTTTCCAAGACTTTCATCGCAGTTCAGACACTCCTTCCAATTGCGTTGTCGACCAAGTAGTAAAACTTGATATCTTTAATTTCGCATCGTTTCCTTATTGGATCACGGCCGATAAGCAGGGGCATTTTCACAAATGGTCCTTTGCACCCTTTCGGTTGTGTTGTTCCTAGAGAAAATGATGATGAAGTGAATGAGTGGGATGCTTAAAACTGCGTTGAGGAGAGTTGCGTGCGCCAAGCACTTTGTTGGGAAATCAGTTTGAACTTCTTGACTGGTCAGAAAGCCACAAAATCAACACACACACATTATCCGCCGATCCTCGCTCCAGTGCCTCCTTCGCCAATTGTTCTGCAACCTTAAATCGTTCTTCTGAGTGATTTTGCACTGATTGGTGGCGCCTCAAATTGGAAAGCCTTTGATGGACGAAGTCGACTGTTTCTTGACTTGACATAACATCCCACAAGCCATCTGATGCAAGAATAACGAATTCATCGTTTTTCCCCAGCAATGGGAAGCGCGAAATCTCCGTCTCACTACTGACAGCTGGTTTTGCAAACCTATCTCCGATTGCTCGGGATAACGAAAGATCGCATACGCGGAACAGCTGACCATAGGGGTCCCATTCTATTTCCACACCGATAGCCCTGAGTCTAGCCCTCTCTCGCTCATCGCTCGGCTTATGGTCTCTTGTCAACGGAACAGCCTTACCACTTCGGCTTAACACAGCTCGGCTATCGCCCACGTTGGCAGCCAAAATGGTCCTTTTCTTATCCTTATCCACGTGCATGATCACGGCCACAGCTGTGCTTCCCTGATAGACTAGGTCCTCTCGAGTCATCACCTTGGCCTCAACTTTCTGTATTGCTTCGCTGATAGCTTGAACATGACTCGAAGCCGTGGGGGTTCTTATACCTTCGGCGCCGTTACCACTCACATCAGCCCCATGTATTTCGACAAGTTTCTTCCGATAGATTCGGTAAAGATGATCTCTTAGCATAGTGCTCACAGCACTTCCACCATGACCATCAAACACAGCGACAAATCTTCCCCCACTTTCAACTGAGCAAGTGTCCTCCATTGTCCAACGCTCGCCCTGGAGAGCTGCTATAGAAACCTGAAATATAATTTGGATTAGATTGAGAATATTTGAAGTTAACATCCGAAGTGCACGTACCTGGTGAGGGTATCTTGATGAATCTGTTTCCAATCGCCGAATGTCTTCTTCTGCGCTTCGAAGAGTTTTTTTGTTTCGCAACTCTTTTTGGGGATGAATTTCATCTCTATTTTCAGTTGCAAAATCACACTTTGATTCAGCAGACACATGGTCTCTTGTCACAATAATACCTGCTACGAAGGCAAGCAATGAGGTAGATTTCAGAAACAACGGTAGCGAACCTCTATTTTTTTTCCCCGCAGGGCTTGTCCTAAGAACCGGCGTGCGACTTTTGACTGCAAGTCTTTCAGCGAACGTCGATGTCGTTGTGCTCTTTGACCGGATCCATGTCGATTCGTACGAAGAAGCAGTCCACGATGGAGACTTATGAGCGGGTAAAGAGCCAAGGTTGGTCAATTTGAACCCCAACTTCCCCATTTTGGGAGCTGATTTGTTTGCCATTCGGGTTGCGGAAGTTGCCATCTTCATGGGATAAGAAGTGGTAAGATATGTGAACTTTCGACTTGGATTTGTTGACAGTGTCATCTGCCAGAACAAACAGACAGACGGCAGAGAACAGACGACTAAACAACCTGAAACCCAGTTTTTCAATTTCAATTTTGTTTTTTATTAATTTTTTTAAAAATTGGAAATGGAGAGGACAACAAAGGTGGACTTCGTCGAGGGTGACGCAGTGCGGGACGCTAGAAGGAGCCTTTTAAAAGTGGTTTGGGAGGCTTCAGGTGTCGACACAATGGCTACAAAATTCCGCTCCAAACCTCTTGATATAGATGGCTACTTTACAGGATCAAATGCCAGGGACAGCTTCTCAGAAGCACCTATGAGTCAAGCAGATTCGAATGCTGCGTATCGTCAATCAATATTCTCTGCTTCATATTTAACTGCAAATGAAAAGATTTTTCTTGAAGAGCTGCTGCAATCTGAAGATCATGAGTCAATTCAGCTGGCTGGCAAAAGATTAGCTGATAAGACTTTGTTTCCACCTAGTGAGGATGAATCGCCTGATGACGACGAGAACAATTCGTCTAGAGAACCAAATGACAAGAAAACGCAAAGCTTTGGTTCAGAAGGAAACAAGGCTATGAATCTTTTTGAGCGAGACATTCTGGGCTCAGGTGGAGAAGACAGGAGTTTTGCTGAAGACTTTGACGCCTGGAGAGAAGAGCTTCTTCAAGATGACGAAAAGCAAAGTACGTCGATAAGTGCTCCGACGACTGGCCCATTCAATATTTTTGGCTTGTCGTCGGATGCCTCACTAATTCATCCCCGAGTGCTCTCGCCTTCTCTGATGGAGGTAAGTCAAAATTATATTTTGCCGTCTCTTGTTGCTTCGGCTATCTCAACTGAACATTCGTTCATAAAGAGCCTTTTGGCGTTCGTGCCTGAAAGTATACAAATTAGTTGCAATTTTTGGCTGAAGTATTCGATGGTCAGAGATGGTGCTAGTTTGCTGGCGCTGCTGAGGCATTGCCGAGCGTCTGCCAATACGGTTTTAGCAATAGAAACCAATGAAGGCTTTGTCTTCGGCTCTTTCACGTCCCAGCCATGGCAATTATCATCGCTAGATGGCTTCTATGGATCTGATGAGTCCTTTGTATGGAGGATGAGACACTCACGACATGATGACAATACATCTGCCGCGGTATTAATGAGCAAGGAAAACAAGATCGACGTATATCCTTGTACATCGAAGAACGACAGGATACAGTTTTGTTGCAAGGAATTCCTTGCTTTGGGTGAGGGAGAACTAGAAGATATGAAAGTAGAGGGCGAAAATCACTTTGGAAATGCAATACGGCTAGAGAAATCAATGACTCATGGTTCGACCAGTACAAGTAACACTTTTGATAATCCATCTCTGATACGTCCTGACAAACGAGGCGAGGAGTTCACTGTGCAGAACATTGAGGTGTGGTCATTGACCCCGCACTCGTCCTCAAGCGCCGCAATTCGCGCGGAGATGAGAAGTCTATTCCTCGAAGACGGGAAGAAAGCAAAAGCACTCAACTTATTGGAAATCCTAGTCAGCTAATTGTTACTATCCAGTGGTGCTGATGTACATTAAAACGAATACTTCTGGCTAAGTCACTTTGTTGCTTCATCCTGATTTGCTTTACAATATCTTCGTTTTACCCTCCCAATCGGGCACGCATCCTCCTCTCCCAACTCTGGAACTAATTCGGCAGGTCGCCGTGCTTCGGAATGTTCTTTGTTTCCGTTGCATTTTTTCGGAGGGTTGAGTAGGAACCAACCTCTCGAACTATTTGTGGATCTATCGATAGGAATCATTGCATCATATAGATCTTTTATCGAAACCCAGTATGGAGGGTATTTGAATCTTGCTACATCCAGTATTAGGGCCTGATCAGTTGCGTCGTGATAGGCCGCCACAGGGCTTCGAGAAGATGTCAGAAAATCAGGAAACAGTCGTCGAAATCCCATGGCTCATGTAATCATTACTCACCTGAAATGTCCCTCTCCTGTTTGTTTGAGATGTGATCGAGAGAATGAAACCACAAGAATCCTGTTGCTGGCATTGTCAGTCATAGTAGCACGCAAATCATCACGGAACGACTCTAAAGAATATTCGCCTCCATTTTCAGACTGCTGAGCTGGTCGCTTCATTTCGATACCTAAACCATGGCATTTACCTATTAAATTGAATTCTTCCATGTCTATTCCAATCCTACGCACTCGTTCCGCAGAAAAACAACATCGATCAAGCAGAACGTCCTCGTTCCCATAAAATCGCCAACCTCCTCGCCATCTGACTCCTGGATCAACGGACATAGCATTCAAAACCTGCAGCCTCAAATTGATGGCGGTAAGCCGAATAAAGGGAGCAAAGAAATGTGTGATCCCAAACTACACCTACCATCACCAATGTCGTAACGCCACAATACGCAGGCTCACTTTGGTTGAGAAACTGTTCAATTAGACTCCAAAAGCAATTCGAATTCGTTTCCGAATCACTCAAGAACTCCAACAGATATCTCTTTCCGCTCGGTGATGACATAGCGGTCAACGAGGTCGGCAAAACTCTCTTATGGACGGAATACACAGGCTCTGGTGGTGGTGGGGGCAATACTGAACAGCCTTGAGGATATTCTTCAACTTCACATTTCATTTCGAACGAGCGATCGAGATGAGCTTTTCCCAGAACTTGGTCACTATCACGAGTATGAAGAAACCTCCTCTCACTCGCTTGGATTTGAAGGCCCAGTCCACCTCTGCAATAAGTAGCTTGACTCAAATCATGGCGATTGAAAGGCATAATCGAACGCCTTGATCGCTTCATAGATCGCTGCAAAGCACATTTCGCATTCATGAGCTCTGAGTACTTGTACCGGTAAACGAGTTGACAGCTGCTGGATGGATGAATACAGCGTACCGAGTATTACGTTATATTGAGTAGCGAGGTACGAGAGATTTGGAACGAAAACGAGTACGAAAAACAAACATGGGGTTTTACCATCCTTGGTTTTACAATGGGTAGGTTAATCTATCTAAACGTACGAATGACGGACACTCTCTGGTCCAATTTTAAAACGGTCCCCTCAAGGTGATACTGAGTTGGGCTAATCCCCTCTTGGGAGGACGTATCATCCAATACTGTCCAAGACTGACAATATCCGACGACAAATGAATACGTTTCCAAAATTTAAGTCAAATTAAATTAGCAAGTCTTCCATTTTGCTTTCCTTTCCACATGATGTGTTCCATAAGACGATCACAAACGGGTCCAGGTTGGATCTTGGTTAAAAGGTCGGCCAAGTTTTCAGCGGAAATGATCCATTCAATCCATAGGATATCAATTGCGCATCTGGAACGAACATAGTGATATGCGACAGCGTTCGATTTCTTTTTCAATTGAGATTCAGGGACACTTGAGTTCTTGACAAGGGACATATTGTCAAACTGTGTACGCCACATATGGCATTGTTGCTGTCCCCTAAAATTTGCGGTAAACGGTCAAGGCAAGCAACAGTTGGGAGCATTGAATCAAGTTGAGTGAAAGATGCAAGTTGGTGATACGGTGGTTGATAGTCAGCATTGATCTGTTGTCGCAGAGCTTCTTCTTGGTGCCGGGAGTCAAGATCATAAGGCTGCCAAGGAATGGCTGCAGTCATCCAAATAGGTTGAAACTCCATTATATCGCTGACCTCTTTGTCAGTAGGTTGGCAACATGTAAAATAGGAAATTGGTTTGTCAAATAGTAGCGGAATCCGTAGACCCGATGTCAAAATAGCATGGTGATGTTAGAATAAAGCAAAATGTGCTCTATCGTGAGTGCCTTTAGCGCTCAGAACAAACTCTCTGCAATCTAAATTCGTAATCAATTGTACAACACTTTCATGACAATAGTTCTCCTGTGTCTAGGTATACTTTGAGTGAAATTGTTCCTATTTGATTAATGTTTGGCTTGAATTGATGATTCAATCACAAAAGTGAGTTCGACAATTTTCCCTTGGAAAATCCCTTGT